GGACTTCAGGATACTGCTGGCAATTCTCCGTTTTCATCTGGATCCAGCGTAACATCACCCTCTGGAACCAGATTTAACTTCTCACAGCTTGGTGAATAATTATCTGTTTGGATAATCATAGTAATACATTGTGTGTCTTGAAAATAGCATGTTACACAATGTAATTTTCTTTCAGCAGCTTTGAGTCCCACATTCAACCTCAGGAAGCACTTTCACTGAAATGAGTGTGACTAATTAGCATTATTATCTCCTATGCCCAAAGGTGGCATACTTGCAGTAACTCTTTGAAAATACTTTTCTGGGAGTAATAAGATGTGTTAATATAAATAGGGAGCTATTCAGTAGAGCTGTTTGATAATCTCACACATTAGTGTGACTTAAAGGACGTAAGATGTTGCCTACCTGTTTAGTAATATTGCTTTAAAATCTAGACATATTACTTACTATCCGTGCTGGTCTCATCAGCTAAGTGTATTTTATCTTTGTACGCATCTTTCAGGTGCCTTGTTGAAAAATTGCACAAAGCTTAGTCTGAAATAATATATAAAAGTCAGAAGAATATTAAGTCAGAAAAAAAGCTGTTCCTTCACTTAATTACCTTGATAAAAGTAAACAGTTTTTAAATGAAGGAAACAATGGAAGTTGCTTGAGAGGCTCCATAAAGCATTGCAAGATTTTAGTTGACTGTATCAGCAGTTGAAATAACCTAATTTAAAGTGCAAATAGTGCTTGTCTCTGGTGTGCTGAGTAAGTATTACTTACAATTTGTTTAGGTATGTAAGTCAATCCTAACGGTATGTGTTGTCTTTACGTTAAGTGACATTTGGAAAACACTATGTCAAACAGTCATTTTCTGTTTCTTTTTGACTTTCAGAAGCTGCTTCATCTTTTCTGGGATGATAAAGAAATAATATGCGAGATATTTAAGCCTATAATTATGACCTTCTTGTGCGAATTTGCAGCAGCTTACACAGTCGCTTGTTTCTAGTGCAGATTAAATAAACAGCTTTAAATAAACCAACACTTAACTAAATTTCAGCTGAATATACACACAGTGTAATTGCGTTGCCAACAGCTAACAAACTGTCGTGAAAGTTCAAGGAAGTACCTTAATGGTAAAAAAAAAAAAAAAAAAGTCCTAGGCCCATAAAGTTAGCTCTTTATGGAGAATATTGAAGATTATTTACATTAATAAGCTTCAAAAGCTATTTGGCCACAAGTAATTAACAAAAAAAAAAATTCTCTGTTCTTAAGAGCTTCAAGATACTGGAGTCAAGAGAGGCCACTTTGTTTCATTTAATGGCAAATGTCGATATGAAAGTTGAGCACCTTTAAACTAAATTATTGTGCTGTCTACAATAGTCTGTGTCAGTTGACGGTGTATATAGAAACAGGCAGTGGTAGCACACCAAAAGGAACCTGCCAGCTGAACAGCAGTTTGGTTTTTCTCTTTTTTCTCCACAATTCAACTAGTTCTTAGTAAATAACAGATATAATTTTAGCACAAAGGTTCTTTAAAAAATGTGAAACTAGGGTAGACATTTTGTACTCTAAACACTGGCTGGGAGAGCATTGGCTTTGGAAGCAAAATTGGTATTTTATAAATCTTACAACCTCATAGTGGAAAAAAAACAGTTCTGAAATATACAACTGTTAAGAAGCTAAAGCTCTTAAAAGTTGTGTCTTAAATACGTAAAAAGATGTCATTTTCTCAGAACTTGAAAGCTTGAGAGTTCATACAGCCTGTTCTATATAGGCAAAATACTAGTTTAAATTCCTTCAGGCATTTAGTCCTTTTTGAGGAAGGACTGTTCCAAATTAAATGAGAGTTAATTAGTTCATGCCTACAAGGTGTTTGTGAGTTGACTGAGCTTGTCTGTAGAAGCATAGACATATCACCCAGTGTTTCAGGTGACCTTATTTACTTGAGTTTTCTTATTCACTATCTTGATTTTCATACCTCTTATTTGAATTCATTGACTTTAGAAAAATAACGAAGCCTGGAGAGGATGAAATCAAAAATTTGTGTCTCAAAGGAAAAAAAAAAAGCTTTTTGGTAGTTGCACAAAAATTAGGTATGAAAATTTGTGGTCACGCAAATAAATTGGTGTTTATTCTTCACTTTATAGCAAGCCCAACCACTGCGGCCCAGATGAGCCTGTCAAATCCAACCATGCTACGGACCCACAGCCTTTCCAATGCAGATGGTCCCTATGACCCCTACAGTGACACACGCTTCAGGAACAGCTCCATGTCCCTGGACGAGAAAAGCAGAACAATGAGCCGCTCTGGCTCTTTCCGGGATGGCTTTGAAGAAGGTCAGTAGAGCAGGTGATGGTGCTAGAAATGATGGAAGATGAGATACTCACATAAACCAAGTATAAATTTGGTGCTTTTCAGCTCAGCATAAGGGTCGTTTCAGAGCGTGGTTCTCTCTGCATGGAGCTCTCAGTGTTAGGTGAAACTTCAGTCCTGGTCATCATTGTCCTGGTCATCATTCAGTGACCCTTCTGGCCGAACATAGGAAAGAATGTAAATGTTGTAACTAGACCATCACTGTTCAATAAATTGTTTAAACACATCCTGAGCTTCATTTTTAGTGACCTCAAAGTTACTCTTGATCATGCTTAGAGTTAGCATATTGAAGGGTTTCCTTGAATAGGACTATTCTCCTGAACCTGGGCCTCCACACTTCTGTTTGTGGTATAAATCATTGATATCAGCCAGACTGTTGTTTCTATCCCAGTTACTCCTTCCAGTATTTAATCTGTAATCAAATTGTCTGTATTTTTTATTTCTGCTGAATGTCCTGGCTTGGTATCACAGAGCTTCCACAGAAGGGACCTGAGTAGTTCTTCAAAACATCTAGGCTCTCTTTAATTCCTTGTCATTTTTTTTCAAATATGTAATCATACCTGATAAAAGAAGCACATGTAAATATAAGAAGAAGTCATTTACCTATAAATAAATATTTAGCTTGGTTGCTACTGATGAAGCAACCTTATGGCCGTAGCAGGAGTAGCTGTGAGCAGACATTAAAACCCTCAAGCGTTGCACTTTGAGAAGTCAAGCGTGGGCTGAGCTCAAAAAAAAGGTCATAGGAAGCTCTTTCAGCATTAGCTCTTTGAGTCTTTAATCTCCTTTCTGGCAAAGCTTGGGAGCTTCCTTGGCTTCAGCACTACAGGTCACACAAGCTTTTGATAGCGTGCTTCCTCCACTGGTAAGGAGTTGCACTTACTCAGCGATACTATTACCAGTGCCCTGTTGCTGCTGCTCCCCTAGAGCCAGGCACATGTGGGAGCCACCCTTAAGTGCTTGTAGGGGCCTTTAGGAGCCCCAAGGCGCCTTCCTGGCGATACTGGTTATTCTGTCCATTTCCTGCCATTGGAAGGGGTGGAAAATGCATATTGGATATGGCTCCGGAAAGACTCAGGGCTAATTCATTATTGAATTTAGCCAATCCAACTCCATTACATGTAATTGTATTTTAGAGGCTCATGGGTGAGGATCTTCATTCGGGGTTGAAAATTATAAGAATAACGCTGTAGGGCTGAAAACTGTGTTGTTGCAGGAATTAACCTTTGTTTGTTCCATGCTCTCAGAAAGCTAGATGATCATGAACAGTCAAGGATTGTGAGATACTTAGGCAGTTGAATTCCATTCCAGGATGAAGAGTCTTGCTCTTACCTTAATATAATCTGTGAGGAATTTAAATTACTGCATCTTTCATATACTTAGAGGATTTACAGAAAGAGATACTACAGCAAAAATTATGCAGGTTTTATTGAAGACATCCTCAAAAAAATTGTAACCTCAGTCTTTTAGTCTTTTAAGTGTGCTTAAGATTGCAGCAAATCTATTTTGGCATGTTGGAGGTTAAACTGTCTCTTACAATTCAGAAATTCTCATCCAGGAGAGAGGCTAGTTGGAAGAATATTTAATAAGTATTACATGTTTGAGGACGAATCGTTTTTAAAAAAGGAAAGGAAAAGAGAGGAGTTAGGTGCAACGTTCTGCAAAGTGCTTTTCATTCGTTTAAAAATATATATATATGTGAAGTCCAAGAAAATCTTACCAAGTTATGGACTTGAAAGCAGTGGGAAAAGATGACTTTTGTGTATGAGGAAGGAATTTGACCCTACAGTGGACATGGTGAAGAAGCCTCTTTCAGATTTTCCTGAATTTTTGGCACCTGAAGGATAATAAAGTTTTACCAGATGGGATGAATGTTTAGGTGCAGACTCCGTATTTTTTGTCTTCTTTTGTCTTCAGCAGGCAGGGATAGCCTGCTTATTCGCTCCTGCTTATTTCTCAGGGAGTCACAAGTTGTAACTGAGCAAGTGGTTCTGAATGTGGCGTGTATGTTGTCCTGTGCTTTCAAAACAGTGGATCTAATTCATCTTCACAGACGGAGAGAACAGATCAAAAAGTACGAATACGTCATTCACCTCCACCTTGAAAGAAGAGATCAACAAGTATCACAGAAATTAAATTTGTGATTAATGGACAAATTAACTTTATACAGTCAGCCAGTGTCGATGAAGCATAAAGCCAGGTCTTAAATACAAGCTTACCAACGTACTTCTTAATTATTTATTAGCACATAAGATTACAAGACATTCGTTTCTTATTATCTTCAGCAGGGCTAGGATTTATTCTTAAAAGCCTTTTTTTCTTTTGTCTCCACAGCGGGAAGTACAGTCATGTTCTCTCCCAGTCAGCCTTGCAGTACCTAACTCTTGATAGGAGGGGTTTCAGGACTGGGGAGGTGCCAGCAAGAACAGCCTCCAAAGTACCTAGAAATTCAGGGAAAAAACACAGCCTAAAACTTCAGTGGTCTCTTGGCTGTCCAGTTTCCCCATTCCCCTGGCCATCAGCCTTCCCCCAGGGCTGTGCTGCTCCTGGCTCCACCCTGATACCTCAACCTCCGAGAGAGGAATTAAATTCATTGTCATCGGAATATAAATTTTTATTCCTATTTGTGCTGCTGACTCCCAGTGCTTTTTACTACTCTTTGGACAGTTGATCATGGCTAGGTCGTTTATTTTCTAACATTAAAAATGATTCATGCTTGTATATGCATTTATAGCACTTTAAATAATAGCTCCAAAACAATTTGGGTTTGTAGCCTGCGTGCAGATGCATGTTAACTGCAAAAAACAGGAATTGCATCCAGAGCGTAACTGCCTTCAGGCTCCTAATTAAATAGCCTTAAAGTAGCCATCTGCAGATACTTTAAAAAGAAATTGCACAAAAATATTAACTCCTTAGTTGTCTTTGACAAATTATATACACATTCAAGCGATGCAGTGGTGATGTTTTACAAGGCAGGAGTATGACTCCCAGAGTTACATGTTCTTTCCTTTTTTACAGTTTTCTTTCCTCCTTTAAAGTCCCAATATGATCTTAAAAGTTCCAGTTGATACTAACTCAAAAATGTGTCCCAATCCATTGAAAGGAGATCTGTTTCTTCTCTGGACGGTTGATATGATTGCTTTCTTGAAGACATCTCTATTCTGTTAGTAAAAGCTGCACAAAGGAACAGTAGAGAGAGGCAGACTAGAAAATACTATTATCTTAACTGAGCCCTTGTGCAGTATTTCCTGCACTTGGGGCTTTCTATCTTAGAAAGGTCATCCTAAGGGCAAAATGCAGGTAAAAAGAAAAGTGACACAGATCTCTTAAGTGCATAACATCTGCGGTATGAAGAGAGTTCAAATAGATTAGGAATCCTCAGCTTGGAAAAATGATATCTGAAGGAAGGTGATAATACAGAATTTAGTGCGTTACAACGAGGGTGGTTATCCATTGCTTCTTGTATGGCAACGGTGTGGAGACACTCAAGGAACTTATTGACTGACTCAGCAGCGGGTCTGAAACAACTGCAAAGAATTACCTTTCTAAACCCAAGGAGAGATTTTTGTTACAGACAAAATGTGTCAGTGGATTCAGAAGTAGTTAAGCAAGTTAATGGTAGAGAGGTCACAACAACTATCAAAAGTAATGGTCTGACTGCAGTTTCCATCTCAGGAATTTCCATCTCTGCTGATTCCCAGCAGAAGCAAAGGTCTACCTGGGGAAAAATCATAGAATCATTAAGGTTGGAAAAGAGCTCAAGGATCATCAAGTCCAACCGTCAACCCACACCACCTAACTCACTAAACCATGTCCCTAAGCACCACATCAAATCGCTGGGTATCTGCCTCCTTCTTGCATTCCTTCCCCTAAACATGCTCTGCGGTCACAGCCAGAGATGGAGCACGCGATTAGACAGACCCTGGGTCTGATTTACGCTGGTTATTTTTATGTTCTTAATGCAGTACAGTCCTTACCATCTAGCTATAAAGATCGTTTTAATTGAAAATGTGATTAACCAGAAAAAACAAATGGGTGTGAGGTTTTTTTTTCACTTTCTTGTGGGTTTTGTAAATTGTCTTAAATTCCTCCAGAAGCCAGCTAAGACTTTGTTTACTTCTCTTTCCAGCCTTGCTTTAGGATATAATGTCACTGGGAAAGCAGAACCCGTTTATTATGAATGTAGGAGAATTGCAGTAGGTAATTACAGCAAAAATGGCAGCTTTTATAAACTTTTTTTTTGGCCGGAGGATTTAGATGAAAGACAAAGTGATTTAACACAATTTCATATGATTTGTGTGAACTTATCTGAAGTTTGAATGAAAATTTCAGTTAAATGTATTTTGTTTCTAAAAATAAAAGAAAAGGGAAGGTAATTTTGCATGTTTCTCTAATAGCTTCAGGTAGTTTTTTGAATAGCATAATCAAAAATAAAATGATGATGTAGGTACACCCTAACACTGGGGTGATGGTAACAACCTTGAGAATCAATGTATATGTATATATATTTTACTGAATGTGTATTTAAATGCAAAAACTTCCTGAAGCAGATTCTTTTCCAGAAAAGGTTTTGCAGCCATTTTTTCACTTTGTTAATTTTTTTATGAGAGAATGAATTTGCCTTGTTAAAGAACTGTCATTTATTTAAAGAAAGACCGGAAAAACCCTTCAGGGATAAAAGGAATGTTGAGCTCGTTGACACCTGTAATACTGCTCCCTTCTAGCAGCAGAAGGAAGATAGAGCTGCATTCAGAGCCCCGAAATTAGATGATGGTTTCTGCCCTGGGTGCTTCACATCTCCTGAAGAATTTGATTACATCCCAGAGCTGAGTATTGTGGTCTTCTCAGGCTGTCTCCATCTTGGTCTGCTGCGTAAAGAAAACATATATTCCCCTTCCCAATCTCATCTGAAACTGAAGATGGAGCACTTAGATTTATTTTTGTAATTTTTCCTGCATTTCAATTAATTTGTTGCTTTTTTTTTTATCCTGAGTAAGTCCTTTTACAAAAGTCTTTAAGATAAAGCTGCCCAGAGAAATATTTATTTCTGAACAAATCTTCATCAAAACTTTTATTTTTAATCTTCTTGGCCACACCTCATTCCCCCCCCCCAAGAAAAAGTATTATTAAATTGTTAAAACAGCTTTCCCAAATCAAAGTTTATGGATTGTATTACGTGGCTATGCATTCTTCAAACTATACATTCTTGGTGCACTAATATGATTATGTTTATGATGGGTGGTGAAATTTGTGAAGGTGTTTCTTCAGTAGGCTGGTAGTTGGCAGTGGATGATCTATGAGGATTCCACTATGTGGTTACTGTATTTATATTCAGTCTGTTTCTTTTCTTTCCTTTAGTGCATGGTTCTTCTCTCTCTTTGGTGTCCAGTACGTCATCTATTTATTCAACAGTGAGTATAATGAAATGAAAAATTTGGGTTTACTAATCAAAATTATTGAATTGACTGGTCTTGTTTTCCCAATTGCTTTTGTGATTCAAGGAGGAGGGGAAAAAACAACACTTTTCTTTTGATTGTGTTCTGCTAGCCACAAATCTACGATCTGCAAAAGAGATTTAGGTCCAGAAAGATTTCTTTGGATATTTAGCAGTATCCTCATTAAATACAGATGTTAATGGTCTAAAAGCAGCAATTTCTTTTTTTGAGTCGATGTTTTACAACTATGATAAATAGGTTTTGCTACAAAGGACCTCAGCAGATCTGAGGAGATTTGAACTTTATTACCTAAAGCACCCCAAAATGTGCTGAATAAAGTAGTTCCAGCCTTGTATTAATGATTTGCCTCTGAAGTTTGAATACATGTTTAATGCACAGATTTTAATAATTCTAAAGAAGCTATTTGTTCACTATGCCAGTAATATTTTCTCCAAAAATACATATTCGTTTAGGTTATCTGATCCTAAAATAAGGCTCACTGGAGTTTGAAAATACAGGGGTTTTTAAATGTGTGTTGCATTTGCTGATTTTCTTCTAACAGCCTCATGAAGGATTTTCCATTTAAACATGTACTATGGAAAACCTTGTTCATATCCAATCGAGCCAAACTACAGGTGGATCGTGTGTTCCTGGCATGCCATGGTCACATTTTTGGGGGTTTCTTATATCACAACCCTTTTAAAAAGCAGTGGATAATAATTACTTCAGTAAGATGTGTTAATTGAACAAGATCTTTAATTTCAAATTGTTATGCAAGGATGATGCAGGTTCACACTTCCCACACATCCGCGGCTGAAACAAGCATCTGTGGTACAAGAGTACGTGGAAGGATTTATTCTTGGAAGATCATGTAGAACTGTCTTTGAAGCCTGTCCAGCCAGAATGCTGTGATTTGGTGTTTTTTCACACTATTAGGAAGTTACATGTGTAACGTGGCCTTAAGACCTTGATAATAAATTGAAAATACTGCCTTCCATTAGTGACCGTGCCTCAGGCAAGGTCCGTATGGGACAGATAATGGATTGGAAAGATGGAAAACAGACCTTTTCCTCTGGGCTGTTGTTTCTAAGCACGAGAGCCACAAGGAGAGTTCTCAGCAGCTGCTGTCTCAGCTTCTGGTTCATGTCCTTGCTGCCCAAGCACGAGTGGCTCTTAATAGTGTGGTTTGATGGGTATCATTTTTGTGGTGGCTGGTAGTGGACATGTTTACATAAGGACAGCGGAGCGTGTAACTTCTACCATAGGCTTCTCTTTAGCTGGTAACTTTGGTTAGAAACAAGCCATCATAGCCACAATGTTATCATGCAGACCGCAGTGGATGGTCAGTACATCCCCTTTGCATCCAAGTGGGAGTGATGGAATTTTTTTTTTTTTTTTTTTGTATCACTTTGGAATGCAAAACCAGTGATGTCCATCCTGTGGAGAGCTGAGCATGGGAGATGGGAATTGCCTAGGAACAGCCGTGTTCTGTGACAGTCCTGGCTCCTCAGAGCCTCATGCCGTCCTCTGTGCACGGAGCCAGGACGTCACCCTTCCACGGTTCAGGCTTGGAGGTGCACTGGTTGGCAGGTTGGGAAGTGGAGCCCAAATTCCTTCCTGCAGGAAGAAGTACTGTACAATCAGCCTGTTTTCTTTTTCCTGAGGAGTAAATAAATTAGTAGATTATTTTAGATGGAGTATGGGTGTGGGAAATCCAAAATAAGGAATTCACATCATAATTTTTGAAACGCAAAAAAAAAAAAATTTGAAAAATGTTATGAATTTGTCAGGCTGGTTTTGTTGTAATATCCTCATGTATTTTCCTCTGTTTTTATTTTATAGCCTGAAGAGAAGTGCCAGTCAGAGGTAAGCACACATTGTGTTTGACAGGCATAAATGTTCTGACAAGACACTCTGCGTTTTGTGTCTTGCTATTTTATTTCTCCGTATTATGGTGCAGTAAATTGTTCTCTTAAAATATATAGATTCGCAAGCTACGAAGAGAGTTGGATGCATCCCAAGAAAAAGTGTCAGCTCTGACAACTCAGTTGACTGCCAATGTGAGTACAACTCGGAGAAAAGACACTAACAGGGAATGCATTTAATGCACTAGTTGCCATCCCAGTTTTTCTAAGTGACCAAAAGATTTCACGTGTCTAACGTTAGGTTCACATTAACTATGTGTTTAAAAAAACAACTACATACATGTGGGACATTTCCAACAGTAACATCCTCTGTCCTACTGAATTGTCTTATGCCTGTCTTTAAATACTGAATCGTAATATTAATTGGCTTTATATATATTTAAACCATCTTCAGTGTTTGAGACAATGATTGAAGGTGGTGTCTGTTTCTATAGTGTCTTGTTTTGTCCTTTGGGTGGGATGAGATACAGATGAAGGGTATAATCAGGATGAATAAAAATTGGTGGAAACATGGATTGAAATGCATTATATTTGCTATTGCATAAAGATGTGGGCTAATGGCACAATAGGTAACCGTGACTTAAGGGGCTCTGAGAACTAATTTACAGCTACAGAGTGGACACACCTGACTTCTACCAGTGTGGGAAATACTTCTTGTTTCCTCTGAGGAATTTGATGAGTAAGTAATGTAAAACACTTGGGGGAAAAAAAATATTTGGAAGCCAGGAGGTGTTGAGGCAACACTATGTATGACCCTGAGCAAGTTTATTTGTGTGTTCTGCGCAATAGTCACAGATAGCAGAAATCTGCAAAACAGAAGCTTGCTAGGAAAATAAGCGATTCTAGAGTAAATAAGCTACAGATGAATAGTCATCAAATCAGATCACACTGACATCCGAGTTTGTGGGAATGAATAAACAGCAGAACACATGCTACTGAAGAGGACGTTCCTGTCCATCAGCTCTCTGAATAGGTGGACACAAAATGCGGCACAGTAAAGGACAGCTTTCATCTGAGCAGCAACACTGATCACAAGAAGGATTCAAGGGGAAAATCTACTGGGTGTTCGCTGCAGGCACCATCCGCCTTGCAAAATGGAAAAGGAAAACCAAGAACACAGTTCACACAGAAGTCAAATGGAAGGGCTTTGGCTGCATGTAACCACTCAGTCACTTTCCCTAGAGCAAAAAAAAAAAAAATTAAAAATTTTCCAAAAATTAAATCTTATATTTGCCTTTCAAACACAAAGAGGACTGGATACATGAGTTGGTTTTCATCCGGAAGCTCCTTTTACATGTGAGAAAGGAGAACCAGATTCTCTAGCATACTTTTTTTTTATCACGCTGTTAAATAACCCAGCTTGTGTCCTCCAAAGGACTGGTCAGCTGTGCAACTCATCCAGCTTTGGGTTAGCTTGGTTGTGCTCTTCTTCGTACGGTGTTCGGCTTCAGTAGCCTGTCTCCAAGAGCAGTGTGTACCACACGTTACCCTGTGCCCGCCCCAGCTTCCTTTAATGTGCCCAAGAATTCCTGTGTGGTTACTGCTACTATCTTTGCAGAGAATAGTTTTTAACAGGCACTGCTGCTGTACTTTTTTTTTTGTTTGAAGTTCATTTGGTTTTTTGGAGAGGGGGGTGTGTTGTGTTTTTTTCTGAAAAAAGCATCATTTATATAATACTCCATTTTTGCTTCATTCACTTTACTAAAACTTTGGGGGGGTTTATTCATGCTATTTGAACTTCCTAGACTTGGACCTGTCCCTTATTTGTCCATGAATCAGCTGCAGACTGCTGCAGAGATGTTGCTAGAACTGTGTCCAGCTGCCTCTTTTCAGAGAACATACTCTTTTTCCATGTAAAAGGCCAGGTCTGGTCCCAAAAAACATTAAGACTAATAAATGCTGTTTGTTAAGACACTCCTTTATGTACATTTCCTTTACACAAGTTGTTTTTTTTTTTTTTCATGCTTTTAACTTGGGCAATTTAAATTTATCTCATTATTTAATTTATTAATTTTTTTCCTGAATTTTCCTGCAGCTGCAGCTTTTGATGCTCCTCAGGCCATCAATGGCAAGAATTTTGAAAAGGATTTGCTCTAACTAGGGAGGGAAGATAACTATTTTCTGTAGCTCACTCAACAATTTCCAACAACTTTTTGTTAAGGTTGAGGAAAAAGAATGAAGGGTTCCCATTATTAATCTGTGTGTCCCACTTGCCCATTTATTTTTTTGCTTTTGCAAAATATTGCTGAGGATTCCTGAATATCAGTTTTGTTGTTCCCTATTCATCCTCCCAACAGAAACTTTGCAGTCTGTGTTTTTAAAATAAATATTTAGATTTTCAAACGTGTAACGTGAGGGTTTAAATTACTTTTTGCTATTTTCTCACAGTCTCAGCTCTGCTTATTTTCATAGGGGCTGATGGGAATGAGAGATGCACATCCCCCTGTTATTGTACTGCTCGTGTTTGTTTTCATTGCGAATGTGAGAACAGTTATTTAGGGTAAGTCAGCTGTGTGCTGATGATGAATAAGTCTGGAATAGCTCCGTGAAAGGTTTTGCTATTCTGTATATATTTAGGTGAGAGAATGTCCTTTTCCGCTTGGAAAAAAAAATTGCAAAATTTTACTTGTCATTGTGTGTATAGAATTCTTTTTAATAGAGAAGTGAAGTATTATTTGCCACGGCTAGTGTAGATGATGGTGGCTAATGGGACACATATTGAACTACGCCGGTGTTCAGTTGCATGTGCCACTTTGCTGCTCTGTTAGCGTGTCTGAGATAACTGTCTTGGCGGTTGAAATCATGGTGTCAAGGACATGGATGTAGCAGCTGACTGAGGAACCACCTCAGGAAGTCTCCTACCAGTGTGCCAAGTCACAGTGTTCCTCCTCCATCGGTGTTTTCTGAAGCGGTTGGTACCAGCGGCTGCCGAGCAGGACAGGGTTTAGAGCCTCCTGCCTCATTTCATAGCATGCTCCTCGTGGCAGTCGGACATGAAAGGGCTGTCGTTTTCTAAACTCTTGAAATTGTTCTGTTACCTTTGCCATTTCTGATTTTCCACAATTATATTGTTCATGGTAATTTGTTTGCAAACATTTTCACAACATACGCTCTACTCATTTGACCTTTTCTACTCAGTGGTGTTCTCTCCATATCATTTGCACCACAAACAATGCCGTGTAGGAGGTGGTCCGTTTAAATATCTGCAGAAATAGTCTTGTTCTGGGGGGAGAGAACAAACTGCTTCTCTGTGGTTTAACTTTCAGGCTCACCTGGTGGCAGCATTTGAGCAGAGCCTGGGGAATATGACGATCAGACTGCAGAGCCTGACAATGACAGCGGAACAAAAGGCAAGCTTGAAAAGTATTTGGGGAAGTCTTAACTTCCGTTTGCAGCATTGCTGCTTGTGCTCCTACTGTAGTTGTGGGGGGAAAAAAAAAAAATCACATATGCCATTTGCCTTAGTTTTCCTCCGTTGTAGTGATGGAGTAAAATGTAATAAGGACTTCGTATTAAATATTTGTTTTCCACACTGGCATATTGTGTTAATTGGTCAGGTTATTCCTATAAATTGTTGCTTTGGACACAAGTCTTCAGTATTGCATATTCTGCAACAAATTCACACGTGTATTTTCAAGAGAAACACCAAGAAAAATCCTTGCAAGACAGGCAGTATTGGATTTTTGGACAGCGTACTTGAGTACACACATTATTTCTGTATCACAGAGCATGTACGTTCGTTTGTATCATACCAACCAAGCTATTTTGCAGCCTATTGAGTGCGTGCTTCCCCAGGTATACCAAGCCTCATTTTCATCAACTTGTACATATATATATTCCATAAATTCTCCACCAATTAGCAGTGCTCAGTTTAAAATTGGGCTCCTTTGGAGCCGACAGATACCCTCTGCGTTTTCTGATGTATCACCATATTTTTCTTATTCCAGGACTCAGAACTGAATGAGTTAAGGAAGACCATTGAGCTGCTGAAGAAGCAAAACGCTGCTGCCCAGGCTGCCATCAACGGAGTCATCAACACACCTGAGCTCAACTGCAAAGGTGAGAAGCAAGCACTACTTTCAGCGACTGTGCAGTGCTCATGGGACTTTAATCCTCTTGGTAATATCTGATGTAACCATCAGAGATCAGCCTTGCCTCATGGCCATGCTCTAGTTGGCAGTTTTGCCATCGTGGGGATTTGAAATGGTTATCCATGTAAATAGGGCAGTCAATTCTACAGAAGTAAATTGATGTGTTAAACACATGGGAAAGTGTTTTAACAAACCTTTTCCACCTTCAGCATGAGCTCACTGCATTTTCTATAAGCATTTATTAACTCACCCATCTAGACCCTGATGTGAAGCAGCAGGGAGCAGAGATCCCCATCTCAGAGCTGGCAGGCTCTTGGCTTGATGTTCTTTGGTGTTTCCAGTAATTCCCAATAGAAAGTCTGAGCATAGTCCTGTCTTATCTCACTTCTCTTACTTATCCCAGTAATTTGCACTTATATCAAATTTCTTACGTAATTTTGACTCCCCCCCTGCATTCATATTCAGGACCCGGAGCTGCTCAACCCGCGGACCTGCGGATCCGAAGGCAGCACTCTTCGGATAGCGTCTCCAGTATTAACAGTGCTACCAGTCACTCCAGTGTGGGAAGCAACATTGAGAGTGATTCAAAGAAAAAGAAGAGGAAGAACTGGGTGAGTGTGTTTTAACATGAGGTTTATATAAAATTGTCCGAACACGCACGGTGAAATCTATCTGCTCAGCTCCTCCTTCCTCCCCTCGTGCAACGGGTCAGCACAAGGACTACCCGCTGTTTAAATCCTGTGTAAACTCACTTTTGAAGGCTTAATTGAGTCGTAAGTAATGTATATGCTTGTCTTGACTCTGCCTAGGATTGAATTTTAGCTTAACAACCAAAAGGCCAGCCTTAAATTAGAAATAGCTGTCAAAGATCAGTTCTGTCTAAAAGTAATATGGTGTCCAACCCCTTAGGGAAAACTCCATGTCTGTCATTAAAGTAAAACAAATCAACAATGAGAGATCATTAGTACTTTTTTTTTTTCCCTTCCTTTTTGTCTCGTAGGGCTTTGTTATGTTGAACACTTTAAGAACTTTAAAATGTTCTCTAAAACACTTCTTTAAAAGTGTTGAAGCACTTTAAAATGTTAAACACTGTAAGAACTCTGTTTTCAATATTGCAGTGGAGTTCTACGACAAAAAAATCACCAATTTTTAAAAATTTATTGTAGTGGACATGTAATTTGCAAGATTTTGCAATACTTAACCTTTCATTTCCCATTTTTCCTTCTTTGCTCATCATGTACTGTGTACAAGGTACCCTGTACTGGAGGAAAGGTACATTGTATTAAACTCCATTTTCAATTAGACCATAACTGTCTTAGTGACCTAGTCTGATTGTAGTTTGGACTCAAGTCCCTAGATCCTTTATTGTAGCCAGTAAAGCAATCCACCCCTTCCTTCCCACTGAATTTAAATCTCCCTGGATCTTTTGGGTGTACAGATACGTCTGTGTAGCTACAAAATGTGGTTTGAGCTGCTGAAAGCTTGATTTGTATTTGCACGATATCCTCTCAGAAATGTTTATGAAACTCCGGAACTGTAAGAAACAGCTTCCTGAGCAGATTCTTGGTTTTATTTCGGTCTTATCCCAGTGGCTTCATTTTGATATCTTGCCAGCTCCTTCATAACAACAGTATTTCCACCTGCCCCTTAAATAATTGGTTGAATGGAAACAATGTCACCTCCAAATCCATCTTGTGCTGGGTTATACGTTAGCTACAGGCAAAGTAGATTGCTGTAGCTTTTAAATTGCTAGTGACTCTTAATTTGTGATACAAACCTTTTGTAATAATTGAGCCTTAGTTAGGATAAACACTTTTAAATTTTTGCTTTATCTTCTATTCTTTGTTATTGTTACCTAGTAGATACTATCCTACATCAGCCTACACTTCTCATTCATCAGATGACTATTTTTCAAGAAGGTTAAGGAAACATCTCCTTATTATAAAGAGAAATAAATAGGAGTTTAATGAAGTAGAAGAAACAGGACAGTATTTCTATATAAGTTGAGTGTGATTCGCACATTGTTTATTCCACGAATACTGAGGACGTTCTCAGCCAAGATCTTTTTGTTATATATAGAAACAACTCAGCTGTCCATTCAGGGCTGAAACACCAGATTTTCAACATTTCTACCATAGGAGTATTTGTCTGGTTTAAAAATAACTTTGGGCTCCCGTTAAGCCAGCCTGTTTACAACATGTAATTTGCGATAGTGTTAAACGGTGTTCAGAGTATCCTGAACTGGAAGGCGCCCATGAGGATCGTCAAGTCCAAACCCTGACTCCAGACAGGAAAACCTAGATGTTAAACCATATATCTAAGAGCATTGTCCAAGTGCTTCTTGAACACTAACTGTTGAACTGCTTGGGATAACAGTTTAATCATGTGAATATTCATTCTTTTTGTTTGGGAAATGGCAGTTCCATTAAAAAAGGGGGGTTTTAGTTGCAGGTAGGTGGAGAAGATTCAGTATTTTCACTGAAAATAAGCCTAACTAAGCTGTTCCTGCAAGGAAAAAACAAAATATTAACTTGGCTGTTAGCCAAAACATTCTGTTTGAGCCAAGGAGAAAATAAAATTTAAATAGTTAAAAGATTTGGGTCTGGTGTGTCCCTTAAGTAATGCAAAAATGACCATGTGTTGTTTGAAACACCTGGTTTTGGAAAATACAGGGTTCCGGTTCTAAAGTAACTGTTGGTCTTTGTTGATTATTGGTCACGTTTGTCTTAGAAACCCAAAGCTTTCCTTATCACTGGCTTTATCTGTTAAAACATGTCTTTTTTTCCTTCCCCCACTTCTTTTTGCTTGCTCTTCTTCCGGCAGGTCAATGAGGTAAGGAAGACGTACTTTAAACTCTGCAATACAACGCTAACCCATCCATTCACATGACTAACCATTTCAGCATCATTAACCTTGTCTGAGCCACGGTACATTATAGCTGCAAGTCGCTACAACGTCACTATAAAGCTTGTTGCACTGAACAGAATTTGCCATAAAAGTTATCTTAAAAATAGGAAGCATTCATATCCAGTCCTATTGACCTTATTAATCTCATAAAATAGTTAATGAAAAAAAGCTTTTTAAATTTTTTTTTTTACCCATATTAAAATATACGTGAGTATGGCTGTATCGTTTGGAGTATTTGCATGTTGGAGTTTTTACCCTGTGGCTTTTTTTGCCTGGTTTCATTCTTAATGATGTGCCTACTCTTGCGGTCTTGTTTTTTCAGTTACGCAGCTCCTTCAAGCAAGCTTTTGGTAAAAAGAAATCTCCCAAGTCAGCATCTTCTCATTCAGATATTGAGGAGATGACTGATTCTTCTTTACCTTCTTCACCGAAGCTGCCACACCATAACACTACTGTTTCAACACCATTGCTGAGAGCTTCCCATTCCAACTCTCTGTAAGTGATTTTTTTTTTTTTTAATTTTTAAATAGAAAATGGAGTGGAAGGCATTTTGCTGCATAGGTAGAGGTAAAGAGAAATATCAAGCTTTGGAGAAATCCAATGTTTTCCATGCGAGCTTTACAGGACATCTGTAAGCAAGCAGAGGCGAAATGTACCCTACACCATCCTGTCCCCTCTGATTCCTCTGTCCAAGAACCTGCAGATCTGTATAAGCACTGCAAGAGTCTGACAGCTGTTCACCATGAGGCCACAGCAGAAGACACCATGGCCCAGACAGGATTGTCCTGTAGGTCAGGGCTGGTCTGTTGCCACTGATCAGTCCGTTTCTTAAGCATCACTTACCTTGTCTCCAAGAGGGGGGCTGTGTTTTGCATGAAATCCTTAACTCTGTCATAGTGGCAAAAGAATTATCACATTTCCAGCTACTGCCTATTTGGAATGTTCTGTAGTCCAGGGAGATTGCAGGCAGAGGACTGAGAAGTTGAATTTATGTATCTTTAGTTCCCTTAATATATAAGCTGACTCCCAACCCAGTAAGTTTGCAATAGTGTCCAGGAAGCCAGAAATCATTGCATCATTACTGTAGTGTAACTTAATATTTCATTGGGGTGCTCTCTCAGTAGAACATATTGAGTATGAAGAGTATTTATAACCAGGGTTAGCCTGGAGTGCAGAATTAATTGGATCTCTTGCTGTTAATGGCACAAGCCAGGCCAAGTCTGGGATTTTGTTTTCTCTGTTTGCTAAAGACAGTACATATTGTACTGATCTGCAGTGATGAGTTCCCAATTAAGTTGACAAATTCAGATAAAGGTAAGGATTTACTGGCAATCAAACAGCATGGTTCAGTGATACAGCTGAACTCATCTAAAGCTTGTGCCTGATGGATGGAGCTGATCCGCTCCTGTTTTTGCGTGTGCTTCCCCACCCACCCATGCACGGTCCTTCCCTCGCACTGGCTCTGCTACTTCTCAGGCAGCTCCATTGAGCTGATGCAACATGCGCAATTATGTGAAAAATAATTTGACAGAATCAGGAATAGGTCTTCCCCAGGTTGCTGGATTGGCTCAGCTCAGTGGTGTGATCAGACTCTGATGAGAGGACATCATCAGGGGACGTGACAGCAGCACAGCCGGGAGCAGGCTGGGGAAGAGGAGTGAGAAACAAACGTGCTCCTTTGGGTAGTAGTGAGACATTGTATTGGGTCATCGGTGGGACCAAACCGTATCCTTCTGCCTGTGTTTATATGAGAGTGAGATGTAGGCTCTAAAGTCTGCTCTGCTGCTTAACTCATTTTATGTGTGTTGGAAGGTCATAGGTAATGTTGAGGCTTCATTTTGGCCACCTGTGAAATCAAGTTAAATAATTGTCTTACTGCACTGTTTTGAATCTAACTCACATTTTAGAATGTGCTTGGGAAACTTTGTAAAACAGATTTTATGTTAATTCTATTGGTTGCTTCGTCACTTAAGATAAATGAATACAGAAAGTTGCAAGAGGCAGTATTGTGAAACATATAATTACCAGACAGCTGTATGACCTTGTAGATGTCATGCAAAGCTTCCAGCCTGATTTCAGATCAAATGCATTTGAGTAAGTACCCAAACTCGAAGTTTTACCTGTCACTTGTTTTCACATGAAGACGTAAAAACAGTAGCAATAGTTTCCAGCCATATAATAGCGATGAAATGTTGGTAGCAGGAGATAATCCCCATGAATAATTTTTAAAGATTCTCCAGTCTCCTGAGCCTGACTTGGTGGGTTTCTGGTGACTACAGCAAATTGTGCTTTAGAAATCTGAGGCCAGAAAATTGTCAAATGATGATCCCATCTATCATCAGTCAAAATGCTGTGTGCCTATGTCTCATCTTGACGTGAAAGCCAAAAGGCCAAACATGAGAAAGGAGTAAATATGGGAACTGAGGGAAGGATAGAGCACAAGTAAAACTTGTGTGTTTTGGCTTATTGGCTTTTTGGTGGGGAAAACATCTCTCATTAACGTGATTGAGGGAGAGGTATTTTAAATGAAATCTCCTTCAAAGCATGCAGCTGTGTAGTTGATCCTTGTATAGATACACTTATGAATGTGCTGAAATGTTACTCGCCCAGAATCTTTTTTTGTGGAAGGAGGGAAGGAAAAAGCCACCAAAAATTTTTTAAGCATGAGTGCTTTAAAGCAAGCAGGAATTTATCACGCTCGAATAGGCGTAGAGTTCCAAAGCCCTCCAGAACAGTTCAGGGAAACCCAGCTGTGCACACCTGGTGAGCTTTAAATCTGTCTGTAAACTCATCAATCTCCAACCAACTGCTGTCACTGCCTGCACCCCCTTCATTTATTCAGATTTTGGCTTTAGAAGTTTTCCTTTATGGCAACTGCCATGAAAAAAATGAGGACTGTCCAATAGTAGGTGGCTTCCAGAATTCTGTTTTATATGCTGATTAAAGAAAAATAACCCTCAGACATATTTATTTCGCTAGTCTCTAATGTTTCCATGACCTATTTAATACCTGATTTATGGTATCACTAATCCAATAAGCCAAAACTGTTGCCTGCTTTCTGCAGAGTAAAAGGGTTTTATTCCTCCTTTACTAATAAATGCTGGAGAAAAGCACTGTTTGAAAAGTGACAAGTGGGTCTCATTCGATGTCTGTTTTTCTGTCTTCTCCAGGATTTCTGAATGCACTGACAGCGAAGCTGAGACAGTCATGCAGTTACGCAATGAGCTGAGAGACAAAGAGATGAAGCTGACTGATATTCGTCTAGAAGCCCTTAGCTCTGCTCATCAGCTTGACCAGCTTCGGGAGGCGATGAACAGAATGCAGGTAAGAAGTAACCACCCCAAATACCGCAGTCTGCATTGATGTGTTAAAGATTGGCCAACCTGCCACACAGCAAAGATCTGAGAGAAGGTACATTTGAAGTTTTCCAATGCTTACTAAAAGTTGTGTGTAGCTTTGGACCAGTGTTAAACCTTGTACCATCATGTAAAGTCAGCTTGAACACGTGAGTTCTGCTGCCCTCAGCTCTGCAGCTGTAACTGTTTCAACCCTAGAAACCTATGGGGAGATCATTTTGCTGTCAGCAACCTCTTAAAATGTTCCCCTGCTCTCTGCCGTAAAGTAGCTGCGTTTCAATGTTTATTGAATTCCCACATATTTGTTTTCTAAGATACTTTGAAAAGTTTCATGGAAGGGATGTTGTGATAATTAAAATCATTAATTTATTAAAATAAATTTAAATATTATGAAAATGGAATTTCTGCTAAACTAGTGCTTATTCTTAAGTTAGTTATGTTGCTCTCTGTTAAGTGTATGTTTTCACTGGGCCTTCTGACTCCTGACTTGTCTTTTCAAGAGTGAGATTGAAAAATTAAAAGCAGAAAATGATCGGCTGAAATCTGAAAACCACGGCAGCTGTAGCAGGGCTCAGTCTCAGGGTTCCATTTCATCCTCTCCAAGACATTCGGTGGGTCTCTCTCAACACAGTTTGAACCTCACGGAGTCAACCAGTCTCGGTGAGTTTAATGAGAAAGGTGGTGGGCAGGTTTTATCCTGCACTTGGAAGATTTGGTTTGGTTAGCCATGGAAAAATGAAAGCGTGAAAATTATTAACAGTTGAGGTGTGGAAATATGTCAGGAGCTGTTTCATCCTCTCCAAGACATTCGGTGGGTCTCTCTCAACACAGTTTGAACCTCACGGAGTCAACCAGTCTCGGTGAGTTTAATGAGAAAGGTGGTGGGCAGGTTTTATCCTGCACTTGGAAGATTTGGTTTGGTTAGCCATGGAAAAATGAAAGCGTGAAAATTATTAACAGTTGAGGTGTGGAAATATGTCAGGAGCTGGCATAAAGCCTTCTTTTAAAATGTCATCATAGGTCTGCTACGCCCTAGATCAGAGGGGTCCAATTATGACCTCAGCTGCGAAGAGTCATGTTTAAAGCTGTTTAATATGGTGTACATTGGCCAGGGGATATCTCGTAGGAAGGAAAATACAGAGTAACTGACCAGTCATAATTTTCAATGACCTTCACTTTTTAAGAGTGATCCTGATATTTGGTAGGGAAGTGAGGAACCCTGGTTCTCATGTCTTACCTCTGGGCACATGAAGCCCAGATGTGTCATGTTTGACTGCAGTAGGTGTGTTGGCATAGACCAGAATAGTTTTCATTGTTATTAAGACACAACTGTGAAGCTGTTGATGTTTCCTGTTCACAGACATGCTGTTGGATGACACTGGAGATGGCTCTGCCCGGAAAGAAGGAGGCAGGCATGTCAAAATAGTTGTCAACTTTCAGGATGAAATGAAATGGAAGGAGGTGAGTTGTGTTTTGTGCCCAGCCTTGAAATATAAGTGACTTTGGAATGTGCCAGGGAACTTAAATCCAATTTGCTTTGGAGGCTCTTATTTGCAAATAATTTTTTTTTTTTAATTTTCTTTGCATAATAGTTCATTGGTGTGTCAGCAGTGATAGCCAAGGTACTCAGCACCCTCCCACTTCCTTGGAACTGCTGAGAGACAACACTGCCAGCTCGGGTTGTCTCATGGGACTCGCCCGCAATAGCCTTTTATTTCACAGTTTCTTGGTGCCATCAGTACGATGGCCAGGGACCATGTCGGTGACACAGGATTGCTAGACTAGACCACGTGTCAGCAGCGTAGGTGGCAATGTCACAGTTTAAGCCTTTCAGTAGTGTCTCTGAAAACCAGGCCCTCTCTTGGCGTCAGGAAGGTTAGCAGACTGATCTGTACCTTGAAATAGCATCTGTTTAAGACTGAGGTCTTAAAAGCTGTACAAAGCTCTCAGGCCTATCTGTTAAACTTCAATAAAATTCTAACTAATAATGAAGATGATCCAATGTGTTGATAGAATGTGCACCGAAATGCCAGAAGCACCGATACTCTGGAAGCACTTAATGGATCCAAGCTGGGAGATACCTATAGCTTATCATTCTAGTTCACGTTGTCCTCTCTGGTACCAGTATCCCATTTTGAATGACATCTTTCAGATGTTCTCTATTCGCAAGTAACTGAGAGAATCTTAAATCAAAAAGAAAATTATCAACTAAAGTAGTGTGATATACTAAACATAACACCCAAGTAAATATATGTGTAAAGCTCTTGCTAAATATAGACATTATTACATATAAAAAATTATACAATTTATATATATATATTTAGATTTCTATGTCCACAGCAGCATTTCTCGAAGTAAATAAGATAAACCCCACAAATGTGACATATTTGATTGTGAAGTCACGGAAAATTTAATATGCCACGAGCTTTTCTGCCTACACTTTCCTACGAGTCTGTCTGTCTTTTTGATAACCTGTAATCCACTCAGGGGTTTTTGAGTTGTTCCTGGATGGATTAATAAATACCTTTTACTTAACATCAGCACCACTTAAGTATCCGTTAGGTTTGTGACTCCAACACTGTAGAAAATGTTTAGTAGAAAAGAAGGATTTCATATAGAGTTCAGAATTCACCATACAGAGGGGTAAAGGTGCACCATCATTTACAAAAAAAAAAAAAAAAGCCATCATTTTAATTACATTAAACAGACTTGTCTGATACAGTTAGGATTTATTTATTAACTTAAATTCACATTTCTTTGCATTTAGGATTTGAGGCCTCGCACCTTCCTTATAGGCTGCATCGGAGTCAGTGGCAAGACCAAGTGGGATGTCCTGGATGGGGTTGTAAGGCGGTTGTTTAAGGTCAGTGAGAACCATTTGCTGTATGCTTGGTTTCTCCTATGAGACCTTGATGGCACCAAGCAATATTCAACTTGCTGTGATTATTGCTATTATAGCACAGAACAAAGTCACGGGGATTTCAGCACTGCCTAACTTTTTGTGTCCTTTTTTTTTTTACTCTAGGAATACATCATTCACGTGGATCCCGTGAGCCAGCTGGGGCTGAATTCAGACAGTGTTCTGGGCTACAGCATCGGAGAAATCAAGCGCACTAACAGTGCCGAGACACCTGAGCTGCTGCCCTGTGGCTATCTGGTGGGAGAAAACAACACTATTTCAGTTACCATCAAAGGTAATTACGCGTGACCTGTCTGTTGTAGTTCTCACTAATCACAGTTTTATCGAATCTTGCTGTGTCAAGAGACTCAGAGGAGTAGAAACTTCTGTTGTGTTTCTTTTTCCCTGCCCCTGCCTTTTATTTACTGGTCCTTCTATTTTCATTTGATAAAGACGGCACTTAGAGTATGCTAAGGCTTTAAGTTCAGCAAATTTTCAACCCATAACGGCAGGAGTCACTACACACACAGCAATTTTCTCTGCATTTCTTGGATTGATGCCTGGAGTTGTCCTGGAGAAGACCAGGAGAACAAGTGACACAGTGGATTTGTTTGAGCAGCAGGGTACCTTTCAAATGAATAAAGCTTCAGAATTTCATCACTTCTTTGTAACAGCTACGTTTGTTATTTCCTTCATGCAGAGTAAAAAAACCTCTTGGTTTCACTTGCTTGATTTATTTCACTGAAGAGTCCCTCCTCAGGCACCAGTGAGGAGAGATTGCAGAACACATGGGACCCCTTAAACTCTGGATTGTCTCAAAATGTTTTGTCTTCAAAATTCTCATCAGTTTTGTTTTATCATACTGATAGGAAATTAATGCTTGTATTTCTCCTATAAGCCCATTTGGTTTCTCAGGAAAACATTTTTTTATTAAAACTATCCTATGAAACTAGGTTTGAGAGAAAAATCCTCAACTTGCATCTTGAATGTATCATCGGCTTGCTCAAAGTTCCACCAGAGAAATCTCAAGCATAGATCCGCACACAGCGGTGGATTTTTTGAGAGCGTTGCCAAACACTTTGCAGCTCACCTGTTTTGCTGTGCATTTCACTGAAATAATTTCATTTTTGAACATTGGTATAAAAAACCAATTCCTTGGGTAGCAAATCATCAGGCAGGAAGACAGCATAAGCCGTGAAACATCTCCATTTCCTGCGGCTTGATGTAAACCCAGGGTATTCTGCTGGCTTAGGATACATTGCCCAGTAGTACAATCCCAACTGGCACGTTCCTCAGGGACTAGCCATACCTGTAAAGCTGCAGTCTGGTTTTATATTTACCTTGCTTTGGCTTGACTTGTACTTTGAAGGTTCCTATGTGATAACAATTCTCAATAAAATAGAAATGTATTTAATCAATTTATGGAAAATCACTTACATATACCTTTGAGATATAAAGCTGCCTATATAAATATTTAATATTCCAAGTAACCACCGAGGTGCAAACATTTCTCTGTGTGATCTGCCAACTTCCCTTTCTGCTGTTTATTTTGAAGTGCTGTGTATTTTCCCCGAGCCAATTCTGCCTAAAGTGACTGCTGACATTGCGTAAATGCTTATCAGTAGGCGTTTTATGTTGGAAGAGATAACTATCAGCACACAGAGAGGGAGTTTAATTACAGGCGTTTGGGAAAGTAGGGGGAGTTGATGATAGCTGGGGTTTTTTGTCTAGGGATTCAAAAGTAAACAGGTAAATTCTGGATGAATGCATACTGTACATGGCAAATTACTGCAGAATGGCTGGTTTGTGTGCTGGAAATGCGACCTGGAATCATTTGTATGGCGACTTTTGTAGGGCCTTAGACACTGTAGGATGCAGCTGAGTGTTTTGAAAACCACGAGAGCTGAAGGAGGATCCAGGCTGAGCCCACAGGTCACTTCTGCACTTACTTTGCCAGCTTTATATGTGCTCCTCTTGACCACAGGGAAAAGCGGGGAAGGGATTTATCTCTGAAGTGAGAAACAGCTTGGTCAGGTCAGATCTAAATCTGGTGTTTCCAATTGCTGTTTTGGGTTTTTCTCCTGCTGTTACTGGGTCCAGGTACATTCACAAAATCACGTTTCAGTTCTCTAGTTTGCCTGTTCATTTCAACTAGTCATGATTTGTTCAAACTCCACTAACGGAATCGCTTTGCAGCATCACAACTATTTAGTTAAAAAAACAACCCCGACAAAAAGACCCCCCAAAAAACCATAAACCACCTTTAAAAAATGCAGGTAATTTGGATAAAAATTTGGGATCTGTCTAAATAAGGACTCTTTCTGTTGCAGGTATCTGTGAGAACAGTTTGGATGGTCTGGTGTTTGAATCACTGATCCCAAAGCCTATTCTGCAGCGTTATGTCTCTCTCCTGATGGAACACAGGCGGATTATCTTATCTGGCCCCAGTGGCACTGGTAAAACATACCTAGCAAACCGCCTGTCTGAGTATATGGTCCTCAGGGAGGGCAGGGAGCTGGCCGATGGCATCATTGCGACCTTCAACGTGGACCATAAATCCAGTAAGGTGAGGAAACGGAAATCATCCTTGCACAATTAATGCTACCGTTTATCAAAAATGAGAGAATTGTCCTTTATTCATCCATCAGAAGCTGATTTTAAACTTACTTTTCCTTTTTAAGTGTTATAATAATCCTGAAGGGAATAACATTGAAGATTTTCAGAAGTAGAGATTCACCTGATTATGAGCCTGAGATAGCAGGCTTCCAGGTGTGTATTTAAACACCTAAAGGTGTCACGATTTTCAAGGGGTTAGGAGCCTGAGAATCGCCCAGGAAGTTAAACACCTGCATGAAAATCCCAGCAACGTCAGTGCTCGCTATTGCACGTGGGTGTTTTTCCAAGAACCCTCCAATGCATCTCTAGGCTGTCGAGAGTTTCTGCAGCTGCAAGTATCAGCAGCTGTAATCTGCGTGTGCTGGGCTTGGAGGGACTGGTGTCCAGGCACATTCCTGCGCCGGTAAGGCATGCCTCTGCTTTTTATGGGCTGCTGGTTTTGCTGAATATACCTCCAGTGAATGTCTAGATTAAAGGAAAAAAAAAAAAAAGCTATATATTTGATGGCCTTAGGCACATTTTCCTCTAGAGGAAAAGGATGGTTGAAATTGTGGTTGTAGACCACTGGTATAATTTGAGACGTGTTAGGGAATAAATGCTTTAAAGCTGCTGAGAGCATTTCAGCCACACCCAGTCACCCGGCAGCAGCCCCACAAGCTCATCCTTCTTTCACAGCGTTACTGAAGGCATCCAGATTCGGCCTCTGCCAAGGGATGCTTTATTCCTGATTAATTTTATGAGCTGTGTTTCAATAGGCACACCATTGCAAGAAGATATAACAAACCTAGCTGGGATGCAAAGTTTGGTTTGGCATCTGGAGAGCTGAACAAGTTCCTGAAAAGAAAGAAAAATACATTTCAGACCGCTGAGGGTCACATTAGGACAGCATGAATGAAAAAACCACAAACCAAACCAAAGAACATCTTACCCCCCTTTAGGCCCTTATCTCACAGAGGGTTTCTGATGCAGTCTTTGAATTTTCAGCATAACCTACAAAAGAGAAGGAAACCCATATTCTTCTGTTGACTCAAGGAAAATGTGTGCATTTGTAAGATGGCAGGCTCTTCTGCTTTAGCTTTCATGACAAAGCTAGTAGCTTATTTATCTTAACTGGATTTTCAACTAATATGATGAAAACTTTTTTTTCCTTCTTTTTTTTCCTTTTTTTCTTTTGTTTTTTTTTTTTTTTTTTTTCCTTTTTCTTTTCTCTATATATGCTTTGCAGGAACTCCGCCAGTACCTCTCCAACCTAGCAGACCAATGTAACAGTGAAAATAACGCTGTGGATATGCCTCTTGTAATAATTTTGGATAATTTGCATCACGTTAGCTCCCTAGGAGAGATCTTTAATGGACTTCTAAACTGCAAGTACCACAAATGGTAAAGAAATATCAGAACACATTCCATGTTTCAGTACTGCAGTCAGACCCCCACCATTGCAAAATATGATCCCAAAACCAACCTCTAGATCAATTTGATGAAGTGGACTGAGGTGGACAGACCATCCATATTATGAACAGCACTTCTGAGGTTTTTTTTATTAATAAAGTAATCAATTCCTCTGAAAACAGTAATAAAAAAGTAGAGGGTTTGGATAATTTGCGTTCACTTCATGCAGTGTATCCTCAATACTAAAGCCCCATTTTTAGTGAAAGATCCTACTTCGGGATTTCTGTTTTGTGTTCAGCATTTGATGTTCTCAGAAATCAGATTCTTGGTAGAGAATTTGGTTATGAGTAGCTTCAAAAAATTTTCTTTGACAAAAGAGGTTTCAATAACCTTTTTTAGTGTTGAGATCTTACTAAAAAGTTGTATTCTCAAAATTTACAAGTATGATTTGCTTGATTTTTATTCTTTTATTTTTTTTTAATAGTCCATATATTATTGGCACAATGAACCAAGCCACCTCCTCCACACCTAATCTTCAACTTCACCATAATTTCAGGTACTGTTTGTTCATGTTTCTTATTTATGTTTGTGGACTGGCAAAGGAGTAATGGCTACTGAGTCAGCTGAAATTGTTCTTATCAGCTGAAATAGCAAACTGAGAGAGAAATACCATTTGCTACTAGTTGCTGCCCTGACATGTGCAGCTTTGTTATGATGCTGTTATTAAAGTAACTGCAGTTCATAAAACTTTTTTCATTTTCAGAGGACTGTTAAGGAATTTGATCCTCTAACAAATTTTAACTAATAGGCAAAGAAGATACTGAATGAGAAATTAGCTGAAACAACGCACAATACAAATTTTATCATCTAGTGAAATCATCATTCCAACATAATTTTTGCTAAGAACCATCTGTGACTCTCATAACCCATTTTGATCATGATCATCTAGAAATAGTAGAAGGAATTTAGCCCAGAGTAGGTACGTTCAGTAGTCTGAAAGAGAAATAACGGACGTTTCTGCTGTTGTGCCTTAGATGGGTGCTATGTGCTAACCACACCGAGCCGGTCAAAGGCTTTCTTGGCCGTTTCTTGAGAAGAAAACTAATTGAAACAGAGATCAGTGGCAGGATGAGAAATGCAGAGCTGGTTAAAATTATTGATTGGATTCCCAAGGTCTGGCAACATCTGAACAAATTCTTGGAGGCTCACAGCTCCTCTGATGTTACTATTGGTAAGTGCTATGCCCATATGCCCGGACATATAGGAATGTATGTATTTTATTTCCTTGTGTATCAGGTGCGTCCTTGTACGTTTTGTTGTGCTATATCAGGTAAAAAAGGTTTCTTTAAAACCCTACTTTTAGGTGGCAATGTACTCTGAGGCAGACTGTACAAGGAGTTTCTAAACCTTTTTTTTACCTTTTCTAAGAAAAAAGGGATTCTTTCTGAGTCCTGGGTACAGTGTTATGAAACCCTCACCTAGAGGGCTATAGTTTTTCAAGTTGATTGAGAGAATTTTTGAGCTGTCAGATACTTACGTTCTCTTATCTTGGGCTTTTTTCTCCAGAAAACTAAGTTGTTTGATCCTATTTTGAGGTGTATCATGATTTGGGTGTAATACCTGACTTTCCTTTTCCAGGTCCACGACTCTTTCTCTCCTGTCCGATAGATGTGGATGGTTCTAGAGTTTGGTTTACTGACTTGTGGAACTACTCCATCATCCCATACCTTCTGGAGGCAGTTAGAGAAGGGCTGCAGGTGAGCAGGCAAAAGTGAAAAATCAGAGGTCTTGAGTGGTGTCTATTCAAAAGGCAACACAGCATCGGACAAAAATTAATAATGGCAACATTTACTGTAGGTACAACTTTGCACATCGAATAGCTGCATGTCTGTGAAAATATAGCCTGAATTGTCATTCATTTCAGGGAGAATTATTCTCTTCAAACTATTTTGAAATATTGAGTGGAAGCACTAAATGTTCAGATAAGAGTTTTTTAAAGGTGTTTAGAAGCCAAACTACTGATGTTTTCGATGGGGGGAGTTAGACACCCAAGTATCTTTCAATAATCTGCTCCAGAAGCATACCTTAACGTTTTACTGTGCATCTGAAAATGTGCTTATGGTCATAATTTTTTGACTAAGTTCATTAATTTTCATTAGTTTCTAGCTCACTTCTTGTTTCTAGACCAGGTTCTAGCTCTCCTGTTGGTTCTAGACTACGTTCTAGCTCGCTTGTTGGTTCTAGATCACTTCATGGTTCTAGGCCACTTTATCGTTCCAGATCAGGTTCTAGATCTCATTCTAGATCACTTCGTGGTTCTAGGTTGGTTTCCAGGCTGGCTTAGGGCTCCATTGGGTTCTGAGGGGAGAGGACCTAGTTCAGGCAGCTGTTTTGACATCTCACAAGGATTTGGAATACTTGCTGATGATGAGAGCAGTCTCACTGGGGTTTTTGCTTTCCTATTTTATGTTTTTGTCTTGCATGCTTTTTTCCTTCTTTGTGGCTTTTTTGAGTTGAAGGCCGGTAGGATCATCCCATCAGCTGCAGCTCTCCCAGGTTCCTAGCACGCTGACTTGCCCTGCCTCAGTGCCTCTGTGGACGTTGTTTTCACTGCAGGCCCAGAAGGCCAGCTGGATCCTGGGCTGCAACAAGAGGAGCATGGCCAGCAGGTCGAGGGAGGGGATTCTGCCCCTCTGCTCCGCTCTTGTGAGACCCCTCCTGCAGTGCTGCATCCAGGTCTGGGCCCCCCAGCGCAAGAAGGATGTCGACCTGTTGGAGTGGGTCTAGAGGAGGGCCACGAAGATGGTCAGAGGCTGGAACACCTCCCTGATGAGGACAGGCTGAGAGAGTTGGGGTTGTTCAGCCTGGAGAAGAGAAGTCTTTGTCTCAGAAGAATTCAACATGTTATCTGCCAGGTCCTCTAAGCAGCTGACTTTGCAAGGGCATGTAGTGACAGGATGAGGGGTAGTGCATTTAAACTGGAAGAGGGCAGATTT